ATAACTTGTTATTGAATAAAATAATATCTTTTAAATAAGAATGCGTGGTTTGAATGTTTGTAATTCTTATAATCAATTTTAGAAATTGACGACAGAATTTGGTCTTGTAATTTGTCTCCATGTTTGGGCAGTAAATAATTCATGAAAATAACATTGTAATCTTTGCACAATATTGCTAATGATTACAACTTGCGGGAGATTTGTATGAAGATCAATTCTTAATGGAAGATGTTTTAGGGGATTTTTGGAGGAAGATTTTAATGGAGAAGATCTGGGAAGAAGATGAACGGACAAAATTTTAGAAGTTTTTAGATTAATCAATAGATTACTATAAAGGCGTGTTTGTTGGAGTAAATTAAGTTACCTAAATTATTATCCTTTTGATTTAGTTATCATGTTTTATTTTTTGTTTTTACTGTGATTTGCAGTATTTATTGAAAAAAAAATGTTACAAAGTTATTAAAAATAAAGTAGGTGGCGTAATTACCATTTTTTTTAGCTTTTTTTTCTTTTTTTTTTTTTTAAAATTAATTAGCTTTTTGGAAACATAGAATTATGTTGGGCCTGGATAGTTAAGTCCAGCACTACATTTTCAACTGTACTTTTTCTCAATAAGAAAATAATTTTGTACGCGGATCTATAAATCACACATTATTCCAAAAACTTATTTTTCACAAAATTTATTCTTAAAAATCTCTACCAAACATGGGCTAAATGAAAAGCAAGTGAACCATAACAGTTTTGCCTTTTAAAAAGCGAAAAAAATCGTATTTATATCATTACAAAATAAAATTTCAAATTATACTATGTTACTTTAATAATTCATAAAATATTGTGCAGATGCTTAAATATTTTAAGAAATACTATATTCCAAATTTAGAACCTAAACGCTATCATGTAACTGAGTTTTTTTTTAAAATTTCTAAGATTGAGCCTTTTATTTAATCTCTTTCCAAACTCAATACAAAATATAAAAAGTCGAATAGGAAAAACTTACACAATTCAATTACGTAGTCCCTCTGTATGGCTGTGTAAAATCAAATATAGGAAAAAAATTAGGACTTACATCTTTCCAGTTTCTGACTTTGATTTTGAGTTGTGTTACACCAATTCAATATTACTACAACGTTGATTTTGTAATGTCTATGTGTTCGACAAATATGATATGTGAATTTCAAATTTCATATGAGGTTATATATAAAATTCCTGATTTTGCTATCGCACACAGTTAGAAAAATGGTGAGTCATTGAATATATATATATTATGCCAACAATAACATGTTTTTATGTATTGCAGGAAAATGATAAATCATTGAATGTATATGGATGATGTAAACGTTTTATGTGTTCTTATGTATTGTAGAATGAGGTTTGAAGGTGATTCGTCCGTGGGAAGATTTGGGATTTTGATTTTATTCTAATATTGTTTTATGAAATTCAGGATTTTCTTTGATAAAGACTACAATTTTGGGATCGTGACAAAGTAAAATTGGGGCTTATTTGGTGGAGTAATGGAAGCTGTCCAATAAAATCAATTTATATATAGTTATTTATTGTTTTTGGTTTTTACTTGGTAAAATGCAGTAATAATGGAATAAGAATGATGGAATGTATTATATGAATTTTTATTTTAAAATGGGTAATACATGTAATTTCCACTTTAAAAAGGGCATTGGGCCTCTGTCGAGAAAAGGGTAGGCCTCACATAAGCACATTCAGTTTGGACCAAGCCACCAAAGCCCAGGAGTTTCTCGGGTGGATTTTAGGCCCAATCATAAAACTGGACAGCAGAGGCAGCTTGCAAATCTGGCAGTCATTTTTTCTTTGTGGCGTTGGATTTTTTTAGCTTTTCTTTTTCTATTTTTTTTAAGGGAAAAATTCACAAACCATGGTTTAAGTATGCACGCTTCAAAATTCATGTGGTTAAGTTTAATTGTGCAAAAATCAGGTTTTCATCTAATTAATTAAAAATATTTAATAATTAAATATAATAAAAGTCAATTACACAATTAATGGTCACAGATTTCTAATTATAGGTCACAGGTTTATTTACTAGTCACATGTCATCAAATTAATTGGTCACTGATTTTTTCAATGTCACAAATAAAAAATTTTGTTATTTTGAGGTCACAAATAAAAAAATTTTATAGGTCACAATTTTTATTATTGGTCGCAGATCAAAAAATTATAGATCACAAATTATCTATTATTTACATATTTTTTAATTCGTTGGTCACAATTATTGAAGTTTAAGGTCACATGTCAA